AAAAAAAAAAACGGTAACCTGGTTGCCGAGTTCACGAAGTGAATTGGCTTGTTTTACAACGTCGTTGCCAAGCGACGAAAACCCAACCCCGATGGCAAACACCGAGGGGGACGGGACGGGGGGGTATTTTCTTGGTTCTCGTTCCGTTCCCTCTCTCTGGCGTCGGTCTTGGAACGCTCCGTGTGTTTAACGTCTCAAGTCTCTTCTCTTTCGCTCCGTATTAATTTCTCGACACTGGCACCGTGATATTGCATGTATGATTTTCTGTGCATTAGGTTTGTTGCCTCTCCCTCCCTCCGCTCCATTCATTCGGTGGGCCTTTTGCTGCGGGATGTATACGCACACCTTCAAGGCGTGCACAAGTACTCTCGCGGAAAACCCCGCCGCTCCAAGACGGTATCACGAAGGAATAGATATGTGCTCTGTCTATCAACTCTCGTTGGCACGCCGTCATTGTTGTTGGTTTGTGGTGACCCGTCCCCCCTCCAAAGCGTTGGTGTATAAGCTGAGTAATCTGAAGACTATGGCCATGCACGGCGAAACCGCTATCCCAACACATGGGCTCTCTTCCCTCATTGCTGCTGCTGCTGCTGCTGCTGCTGTTGCTGTGGTTTTATCATACTTTATTGCGTTCTGGTGTTACCCCACGTCAGCACCTGCTACGCTCTACACGTCGTCCGACGTGGCGAGCTTCCAGGAATCGCTGCAGGCGACTCTAGACAAGGCCCAGAAGGCCCTCGACGACGTCATAGCCAAGAACCGATCAGAGGTATGGGTACCGTTCCGTTCCAAAGGATTCTATATTGTTTTGACGACGGTGTTGCTGTAGAACTCAGCAGGAAATGACAAGACCCGGGCAAATGCAACAGTGCGGGCCCTCGGTGGTGCCGCTTAGTAGTAGAACCACGTGCCCGTAGTAATCGCGGTGAAGTTGATGTGACACCTCCCAGAGGCCACCCGCTGCTGCACCGTTGAGTACGGCAGCGGTTTGTGCAGAAGCACAGAAGAAGTTCGTTCAAGCACCCCACAGCGAAGGGCTAGCCCGAGGATCCTCTCACAGCGTTGCTGCTTTTCCTATTGCGCCTTTGGAGGTTGGGCATCAGGTGCTGATACGAAGATGGCACAGTAGGTGGCGCTCGAGGAACACCAGAGCGTAATACCGATGTATTAGAATGGGCAGAAACACGGGCGCTGTTTGTGGTGCGCGCGTGTGCATGCGAGCACGCTCTTGGTCTGTGCGTCCCAAGACTTGAGCCGTCCCATATTGCGGTTGCCCTGCCGTTGATTAACAGTAGACGACACTCAACGATGCCAAGACTACTAGGCACCGAAACGTAGGGTAGGAAGACACACGTGAGCTGTGCTGTGTGCGCACACGGGGAATATTGTTGCCGCCGCACGCTGCGAGATATGCCTCTCTAGAATTTCGGCCGTTGTGGTACCTCGACCGTCGGGGGGGCGTGAACACCGATTGGCGGTGCTTGGTATGAGTTGGAGAGCTGTCCCTCGGTGTTCAAAGTGTTTTGGATGCCAACAAAATAAACCTTTTGGTCACCCTTGCGCATGCTTTCTCTCTCCTGCTGCGGAGATATCGAGCTTGGAAGAAGGGTTGTCTTGCTGCATGCTGACGTTGATTGTATGATGGTACGTGGTACGATTAAAATACATGGTTTGATCATACGTGGTATCTTTGAACTTATGGTATGATGAAACGTGCTACGATTGAAATACATGGTGTGATCATACGTGGTACGATTGAAATATATGGAATGATCATACGTGGTATGATCGAAAGTTATGGTGTGATCATGCGTGGTACGGTTGGCGTGTGCCTAGGGTAAGGCGCCCGCAAGTGCTCCCGCAAACACACCGTTTTGTGTTCACGTGCATCGCGTCATCATCGCCCAGAGTAAGGAGCGTTCTGTAAAGACCGGTGCACAGCAGTAGGCGTATGCCGTAGGGTTCGTCGTAACAGACGGCCGGCGCTCACAGGCTCTAGTCGGGGGTCAGGCCGAATCGCCAGTTCGGCGTAGTACGAGAGTCCGGCCTGATTTTAAACGCCAGGGAACTTGAAATTTTCTTCGCTAAGAGATGGAGATTTTCAGGAAAGCAAGCGACAAAAGAAATAAGTTTAACCTGTGTAAATCATTAACTAGGAAGACATATTTTCGCCCAAACGCATCCCGCCCGCCCCGCCGCCCCGCCCCCCCGGCTCAGCATTCACTTTTGTTCGGGGTTTCGTGCCTCGCGAGATGAGAGGTACATGTGTGTACAGCTGTCACAGTCATGGCCACGACAATAAAATGCTCATCGTATGAATTTTCGACGGAAATAGTGAATTTCGCGCACAAATTTGGTCGTCACAGGAGGACACGATGAACGAGGAGATGAACTCTCTCAAGCTCGAGCAACGGAGCAGCCTGGAGGCGGTAGAGGCCAAGGAGCGGGAGCTGCGAAAGATCCAGGTATTACCACGGCGGGTACGGCAGGCACACAGCAGCGGTGGGAATATCTGCCTAGCGCGTTGTTTTCGTGACGCACCTTTGTTCCAGAGCATCTTACCCTACAGCAACCCTGAGAAGAGCAAAGCTTATTCGCCCTAGCGGATGATTCTGACTGACGATCACCGCGCCTCTTTTCCTTACCTACACCTGCTTGATCTCTCGCTCTCTCTCTTGCGGACCGTTTTTCGGAACACCGCGCCTACATACCTGCTGTACGGTGTATCTAGAGTGACGCCACGTCGCTCTCCAGGGGAGGGGGCTCCGCGGCCGGGGCTCCGGGTGGCAGCCAGAGCCAGCTGGGCACGGCGACCGTGTCCAAGCTCAAGAGGGAGCTCGAGGCTGCTCAAGCGGCCAAGGAACAGTGAGTCAGTTCGTCTCTGGAGGCCTGCATGTTGTGTGTACATGTACACCTTGAGAGCGATTTTGGTCCTTAGAGGCAATTGTTNGGGGGGGGGGGGGGGGGGGGGGGGGGGGGGGGTACTCGCCGTGAGGAATATGGAAGCCGCGAGAGGGGGGCGAAAGAAGAACAGATCGTGACCTTGCACAGACTCGTGCGTGGAACTCATGGGATAGTGGTTCGCTTTTTTTCTGTGGGGGTGGGAGAGGACGGGAGGGTCGCAAAATTTCAGCGGCTCCTCTTCGAAGGAAGCAATGGCGGAACCGAGCGGGAGAGACGTGCGTCGCGTTTGTCGTGCTGGCCATGCCGCCAGATGCGACCGTTCCAGTCACGACGACCCGTCTCCCGGTGTTTCTGTCCCTGCCTTTTAGGCTCATGCATGATACGACTATGGTTGCACCCCCACCACTCTACAGTACCACCTCTGCCTGCCCCCCCCCCTACCTCTGTCTCGTACTCCGCCCCCCTGTTTCTCTGCTTGTCCAACCCTGCCCTCTCCAACCCCTCCGCTATCGTTGTGTTTTGCCCACTACTGTACCGTCCTGTTCGCGACGATGACGACGACGACGACGACGACGACGATCACGTTTTCGCCCCCCCCGCCCCCCCTTCCCCAGAGCAATCAAGGAATCGGACGACTTCTTCCAGAACGACAAATCGCAGGAGGTTGCCAGGGAGAGCAAGGTCCTCGAGGGCCGGCTCAGCGAGATCAGGGTGAGAACTTACGATTTGTTTACGTTGCTATCGTTTTGTTTTTATGAAGCTAAGACGGAAAGCGCCGCAGGTCTTCGCTGCTGGTGTATCCAGCACGGAGAAAACCACGCTGCTCTTTGCTGCCGTCTGCTTGGCAGCTGCACGCCACAAAGCAGTACCTCGGTTGAAGGCGTGACTTGCGCGGGACAAGAGATGCAACTCTGGGGAAGAGGAACCGGCCTATAGAGCAGGATTTCAAGCGTGACTTATGCGGAGAGCCAGATATTCCTTCAGACACTCATGGTTTGTTTTGACGGCACGACGGGACCTCTTAGAGACCGTCACTGTCTGTCGGAGGAACTCCGCATTGGACACCGTCCTCCTTGGTTTGGACGTATCGGCAACAGCACGCTAATGCCCAACCAAAACCTCGTCGGGAGACTGATGTTGCCTTTTTCTTGTTGCCTTTTTTTCTGATGTTGTTCACGTGTGAGAAACCGCTGCCACCCCCCTGATCTACCTGTTTGCGAAACTGCCGCGTTTTCTTTGGAAAGTTGGGCGTCGAGGAGGAGGAGGCGGCGGTCAAGGCTCTCAGCAGCCAGCAACAGGAGCAGAGCCAGATCGCCGTCAAGACCGCACAGGTGTCAGCCTTGTCTCCAGTCATACCTGTCGAAGTCTGTTTCTGTAAGATGGTTGTGCCGTGCCTTGTCCAGGACTGACCACTGTGTGTATCACGTGCCATGGCCAACATGTCATTACACAAGTCATGAGAATGCCATGATGTGCAAATGACTTTAGTCGTGGCACATCATGCCAATATCATGACCAAGTCATGAAAATATCATGACCGCCTCACGAACAATGTACTTGACTCATTATTCATGTCGCAATTAGCAGGGAGTGCGTCACGACTCTCCGGAAGAGTCGGCTTGAAATTCCCGAGAACGGCTTAGGTGGCGTGTGGCATGGGGCTGCTCGTTGAATCACATCAGAATTAGGAGAATAGTAGAAGTACTCTGCTGTTGGCATCCGCGATATTGAGGCGAGGTGCGTCTTAACCTTCTCGTATCAACCCTTTCTGCGGCCGACGCCGCAATCCAATCCAATCCCAACACCACACCGAACCGGTTCGAAGTCGACCCAACCCCCCGCCTAATTGGAACAACCTCTGCGATATTTCATCCGTGGACGATTTCTTACTATTTCTGGCCCGATGATGAAAATCGATCGGCGAACGGGTCAACAAATGGCAAGATCGAGGACGACGAGGGGAGGCTGGACGAGAGGGTCAAGGCAGAGCCGGCGTTCACGAACGCCTCCGTCATCAACCCCCCTCAGGTGCTTGCGAAGTTGTCGGTTGCTGGTTGTGGAAAGTCGTGGTGGTGGTCGATATATTCTGATGATGCTGTTTCTGCGTGCTGTTGGTGGTTTGGCGTTCATGTGTTGTGTTCGGTCTGCGCCGTGTGTAAGGTCTGGTGGTCGTCGAACCAAAGACCAGAAGCTACAGCCGCGCAACTCGCGAATGACACCCAGTAATCATGCTAACCACGAAGCGAGAAATACGCTTGCGAATTTTGTGGTAGCTGGTCTTGTTACACAGCAGTGCTGCTAGTTTTACCACTGCTCCCTGTATATCTACGTATCCTCTTTAGAAAATGTACATAAACTCACAGAATGACCACCCGTTCGAGATAAAACCACAGTCGAAAGGGATGTGCTGAAGACCTTTCGGTGAGTGGTATCCTCTTGTGCTTGCCGCGTGGACTGGGACACACACGCACGAAACACGCAGGACGTTACGGAGGCCTCTCTGGGGTCGGTGGCGACGGAGCTCAGGATGGCGTCGTCTAAGCTGGAGAGCGACCGCGTCGATAAGGCTAGGCAGGTCATGGACCTGCACCGTGAGGTCGCCAACAACGTGAGAAAGAAGCGAAAAACAGAGAGCGCATACACTAGTCTTGCGCTTGCCTTCCTTGTTGTGTTGTCGTTCGTCAGTTTAGGAGCCCTCGTGCGCCCCCACCCGCTGTCCGCCTTCTCAAAACGAACCTCCTCGCCGCGTTCGTAACACCCCAACCTCGAGTCCTCTGTGTGCAGCATTCAGCACCAACAAACTATCAACCACTCTTTGGGGGGCTCACTTATATCGAACTCCCGTCCGTCCATCGCTTGGTGCTGCTGCCGCGGTACACGCATGCCTCTCTCTGCCTTACAATGCCACCGACCGATTTTGATCGATGCCCGCCAGAACACCAACCTGGTCAACACCAAGCGCGAGAAGTCGCGCGTGCAGCTCCGCCTGGGCGAGCTTTCGAGAGCGGTCAAGGTGGTGGAGGACAGCATGAGGGGGTTGCCTGACCCCCCCGGCGAGGCGCTGGACGCCGCGAAGCACTATGACTGGGTGGGTGGAGCGGGTTTCTCCGTTACATTATTCTTTCGTTGTTTTGGTGAGTGAACAGTACTCTTTGATTCCAGGTAGAAGGTGTTTTTTTTCTCGTAGCTTTCACATTCGCATCCACTCTGTTCGGCACTTGTAGATGTCGTTTTGATGGGGGGGGAAAGGGGATCTATGGAGTGTACCGTGGTGTCCCATGTGCTTGTCTTACTCGAACCGTTGTCGACCTTGTTATCGCGCCATTTTTCTGCGTGTGTATGTGCCTGTGTTCTTTTCTGTCTCTCCCCCTCCTTCTCCGTGCCTTCGCCGTCCGTCCTTGGACTATTGTCCTTCATAACTCCTTCACCTCTCTCTCTCTCTCCTCCCGACGTTGTTTGGACAGATCATGAAGTGCTTCGTGAAGAAGGAAAAGAAACTCAGCAACGCCTTGGCCCTTGTGAAGTTCTCCGACATGTACGCCCAGAAGGTTGGTGGGCTCGTTGTCCTCGTGTCGTACTTGCTGCGGCTGCAGTTGTTGTTGATGTTGATGTTGATGTCGATGTTGATGTTGCGGTGTTTGCACTTGTTGTTGTTGCTGTTACTGTTGTTGTTGGTGATGTTGCGGTTGTTGTTATTGTTGTTGCTGTCTTCTATGCCAAGAAAAAACTGTCCTGCCCTCCTCTTCCTATTCACACGAACGAAAATATACCGTGGGGGATAGTGCGCGTTAACAGCAGCGCTCTCCCTCACGCACCCGCGACGCGAGACACTCTTTTCGAATGCCCAGCTTTCCGGAATGTGGCGGACGCTTCTCGAGGACAACATCCCCCACCCCACTGCCCCCCCCCCCCCCCCCCCCCCCCCCCCCCCCCCCCCCNCCCCCCCCCTCATCTTTTGTCTAATGCGTTGCGTTCATGGTGTATTGCGATGAGTGGATGGAGTGATCAATGGCTAAACTATGTGTGTTGGATTGCTTCTGGTTGGTCCTCGTCTCTGGCATCTCTCTCTCTCTCTCTCTCTCTCTCTCTCTCTCTCTCTCTCTCTC